AGAGCTCTCGGTCACCTCTCCAAAGTTGACCGAGAATTTATAATTTTCCCGAAATTTATAATTTTCATGATGATTACGACCATTTCTCGTCCCCATCCTACCAGGCTTTTTGCCATTTACACTAATGAAGATAGGAAAAAGTAGATTTTTATTGGGACTAGGTGTTTTGAGAGTGAAACGTATTCAGCGTTCCCATTTTTGGATTCTTACTTGTGCTGGTCAACTAGCAATGTTAAACAGACAGGTGCTTGACATGCCTCCACCCTTGGCGGGGACGGCGGATAAAGGTATGGCAGACCTTGGTGAACAAACAGAACCGGGCCCAAATGCAACAATTTGTGGTGGCCCGTAAGCCGAATTACCAATTACCAATTACAATGGTTCCCAGTTTCCACGGGTCTGGAAGGGAGCCACTATTGAGGGACTTCTGGAACAGTGAGCAGACGGGTGAACTAATTGCGGCCGCGAGCTCTCGTAGGACCCTAGAGTGAATACCATTTAGACCAGGGGGAGGGGGTGGGGGATGTTTTGAGGCTCTCCCTCTAAGCTCCTCTGACCTCTCGTTAACCCTCGCCGGCCGAGGTGGGGGCGGATGCCGCCCTACTGGGGGTGCCGCCCTACTGGGGGTGCCGCCCTACTGGGGGTGCCGCCCTACGTAGGTCAGGTCACTGACCTACGACGTCATAAGTGAACCTCTGCACGGTGTTCAGATGTCGCAACTTCGCAACGCCCTCACTGCCAGAGGAGCTTTCACAGGGAAATGAAACTTGCGGGATCTAGTATTCATTACGAGTCTCACAACTTGTATATCTCGGATTTTTTTCCTAATGGTCATCAGGTCAGGTCATTTTCGTGACCTCACCGGTCATTTTCGTGACCTCACCATTATAAGTCAAAGGGGAAAAACGAAAACTGCTATTTTGGCGCCGGGAACGATCTCCCAACTATCCCAAGCACACAGAATCGTGATTTCATGCACTCACTGCATGGTTCGATGCGTCACTTTTGCAATGTTGACCTTGCATGACGTCATTTATGACGTCATTAGAGTCATATTAGTTTTCGTCAATAATTCCCGATCAAATTGAGCTAGCGAGTCTGGAAAGCCACCAGTGGACTCAGGAAGACCTGTCGAATCGAATGATATGTGACACGACCCCTTCGACCAACTTCTTGACCTGGGGGGCGCTGACCTGACCGTGACCCGAGGTCAATACCTTAAGTTGACCTCACCCAAACAAAAAGTTTATCATTTGATGCGCCTGAGCAAGGCGAACACGATGCTGCCAAAATCGTGACTCTGCGGCTGTTTTTTTTTGCGAAGTTATTCACCAAAAACGGAACTGGACCTTGGGACACTTGACCTGACCTCAGAGATCACCGGTTGACCTAGGAATTTAAAATCGGGTATCAATCTCTGCGTCTCGTAACGGCGCTTACGCTAGTTTTTTTTTCTGCAACGCGCTAGCTCCACAAGGGGCGAAACGGCGAGGGGTGTATATAGAAGCCGAGGGCCCCCCGAGGGCCCCCTCCCCTCGGCCGGCGCGTATATAGAAAACCAATAGGTCCGGCGAGGGTTAACCCTCGCCCGTATAGGGGGGGTCGAACGGACCCCCCCCCTCGGTTTTTCGCAAATAACTCGCGTAAAAAGGGGCCGATCGCGACGAAACTTTCAGTACCCTCGCGTTAATCAATTTTACACCTACCCTGAAATTTTCGTGACCCTGACCCTAATGACCTTTGACCTGTGACCTACTTTTCGAGGCCATGTTTGGCCGGAATCGCGATTCGGCGTATGTCGGCTCGCATTAGCGGCGCGTTTGCAGTCTTTTCGTGGTTTTAAGCGTTCAAACATGGGATATGATGTTGCTCCCATGCATTAGGGTGGGTGTCAAGGTCACCGGAAGGTCAGGTCAGGTCATTGACCTTTGATGACCTCGGTTCACTTTTTTCGAGTTTTACATGTTTCTAGGCCAGTTTTTGGAGCTGATTTCGAATTTAGCAACCATATGAACATTACCGAAGTAGTTTTGGTGCCTTCGTAACATGTTACGAAGCTGTCAGAGGCGGTTGCCACCTACTACGAATACCCTTACTGGTTGACCTGACCTGACCTGACCCGACCTGGCCTAAATGCATGAAGACATCATCTGTGTTCAAAACTAACATGATATTCGTGACCAGTGCCCCGAAAAACCCCATAGCAGCCACGCTTTACGACTTTCTAACAGGTCCCGATTTTCCCGACTTTTGGGCCATTGACCTGACCTGGAAGGTCAACCGATAACCTTGGACCTTAAAATTGGGTATCATCGGCTTCCTCTCTTCACGGGCAACACGCTCGTTTTTTCCGCGAAGCTCTAGCTCGATCAGGGGCGAAACGGCAAGGGGGGTCCAACGGACCCCCCCCCCCCCTTATACGTTCGCGGCTGGAAAAACACCAATACGGGCGAGGGTTAAGCTCGAAATCAATGCTGGCAAGCCATAAATCGACAACCGTTACAGCCAGCAAACGTGATTTCCTCGCAGAAATGTTCCCGTGGCTCCTCTAAAACTGCTCTTCTCGAAGCTCATCCAACCTCCTCAATAACAGTCAGTGCAACCGATTCAAAATTAAACCGCTGCTGCTAAAATAGCCATGCGTTGCGACCAATTATGAAAAAACACATGTGATTGCGTAAATTTATACATTTAACACTTTCTAATCATAAACATCTTTAAAAGGCACTTAAAGGGACCCTCCCACCTTAACATTAGTTTTGAGTTGAGATAGCCAAGTTTGCGGCCGGGCTCAGAAACCACCATTTATCCTGGTCGCAACCCCCGCAGCTTTATGGTGTTCAAGAAATTTCTTCCCTTTACTTGCAGGGTGGGACCAGCGTGGTCCCTATCTCTTAACCATTACGGGAATCTGATGACGTCATCAGGCTTTCGAACGTCCGTTAAATGTTTGACTAAAACGTTTTGTAGCACGCGGTGGTATATGCTGCGTTGCGCGCAACAAATGCCGCACTTTTAAATAAAGTCGCTAGGAACAGCGGAGATCCCAAAAAGTAAACAAAAGTAAAAGTCTAATATCTTGAAAACCGGTGAATATTTTTCGGTGAAATTTGGTAGATATTAGTTTTCGCTCTTTCTGAACCGAGCGACATCACTTTCATGCCAATTCATAAACTTTTTTGAAGGTGGGAGGGTCCCTTTAAGAAGACTGTGAGTAGCTAGATGTAATGCAAATCTAGGGGTAAAATCACACTCGTTTTGGATACTTTCATGTAATTACTAAAAAGTATTGTAAGTACTTATTCAACCGTCATTTTCAGCGCTCTGCGCTAGAGTGACTGGGGTGAGGTATTAGCGGCAAGGTACCGATGTGAGTAAAATTGTTTAGATAGATACGCAACTCTTTCATATGGCTCAAGAACGTGAAAATGAAGTGATAATTATTATGTGCCACAGCGGCTTCAGAAGTTTTTGTGTCTCCTGTGAAATTCTAGGAGCAGCACTTGATGATATTCTTACCATCCCATTTTCACTGGCTTTGTGTTTCAGCGTAAACATGGGCAAAAAGCGACGTCTTGAAGAGGATGACTCCGAGCGTGACCTGGCGTCCGCTGGGGTCCCATCGTCTCTTGCGGCTAGTCGGCAACGACGCCTGATCGTCATTCTTGAAGAAGCTCAACTAGAAACTGTTAAAATCGGCCGTAATTTCGAGCTGCTGAACTCTGACGACCACGCGGGTTTTCTGCGGAAGAACGGCCGGGACATCGGCTCGAGTCGACCAGACATAGCGCACCAGTGCCTGCTGATGCTCATGGACAGTCCGCTGAACCGCGCCGGCCTCCTGCAGGTCTACATCCACACACAAAAGAACGTGCTGATCGAGATCAACCCGCAGACGCGCATTCCGCGCACCTTCCGTCGTTTCTGTAACCTGTTTGTGCAGCTGCTGCACAAGATGAGCATCCGCGCGGAGGACGGCAATATGAAGCTCATGAAGGTCATCAAGAATCCGGTTACAGATCACTTGCCAGTGGGCATCAAGAAGATCGGTTTCTCATTCAGTGCTACAAAGGTGGTGCGTCCTCGTGAATTAGCACCTGACGAGGGCCCAGTGGCAGTAGTGGTGGGCGCTATGGCGCACGGAAAGATCCGCGCGGACTATGCGGAGGAGTTTGTCAGCATCTCCAGCTACCCCCTTTCAGGTGCGCTGGCGTGCTCCAAGCTTTGTGATGGTTTTGAGGAGGCTTGGGGCGTCCAGTGAATCGTGGGCATGACGATGCGTAGGGTGGGGGATTCATTTTTAATGCAGCATGAACAGAAGTGTTCTACACAATACACATGCTTCACTCGTCCGTCAATTAGTGTTCTTTGTGTAACCGAAGGTTTGTTGTCAATAGTTAAAACACTATTCTTTAGAATTGTGTTTTTCTATTGAAAAACAAATCTGAGTTCCCTGACAATTTGGCAAAAGCTGCCTGAGATAAGCATGTCGTGGTAACTGCTCAACAACATTTTGGGGCTTCGATTTGATATAATTACATAGCGTGCGGTTAAATGACAAATCGGCACTGTTATTCCTTCTCCCAGGCAGTCGGATTTTGGGGCCGGAAAAGGAAAGGGTGCATGCACCTAAGTGCCTCACCGTTGAAATTCAGATGAAAATTTCAGCCAAACGTCTTCAGCTGAAACGTACGCTCATTCCCCCAGAATGTAACCAGTGGGGTATCCAAGGGGGGGGGGGGGTCCTGGGGGTTGTAGTGTTCACCGCCGTCTCCGGATTCCGATGTATTCTCACAAACTCGCGGTGCAAAGCACTAAGGCACTGCCATGCTGTGCGGCCGGGCGGAGCCTCTCGACTGCTGGCTCTGACTGGAGCCGAGCAGGGTGCGGCCGCCTCACACTCGTATTACCGGGGGCCCGATGCCGAGCCACGGACACCCGATGCACTAGGTACTCGATACACTACACATTCCCCCCTCTCGCAAAAAAAAGGAACAGCATCACTGCGACACGTAGTAGTCCGGTCGTCTACAGGCACGGTCGCTTCGCCTGGGACGCTGCACGCTCACATCGGCGGCGTCCGGCGACGGCTCGCAAGCTGTCTCGGTCGACGGGCGAGAAGCAGCGGCGAGCGAGGTCAGAGGGCCAGCGGCGTCGGCCTCGGAAGTCGTGGCGGTCGACGTGGTCTCGCCGGGCCCAGCGGGGGGAGATGCTGAGGGAGACGCCGGCGCGTATGGGAGACGGGCCAGATGGGCGGCGTTCCAGGCCCGGCAGTCAGCCAGACGGTACGTTGCGGGACCGACGCGCCCAGTGACTCGCACCGGAGACGTGAACCGACAGGACGTCTTCGAGCGGTGTCCCTGCCGTCTCACGCAGACGTAGTCACCCTCAGTGATGCGCGGCGTCGTCACGTTACGGCGGCGGTCGTAGGACCTCTTGTTGGACTGCTGTCGGCGTCGAACTCGAGACGCCACACTGTCGGCTCCTGGTGTTGACGGCTGAATGACAGGCAGGTTCAGCCTCATCTGTCGTCCATGCAGGAGCTCTGACGGTGACTTCCCAGTTGTCGTGTGTGGGGTGGCTCGATACACCGCCAGGCTCTTGCGTACCTCGTCAATGAACGCTGCTGGTGGACACTCTGTGATCCACGACTTGAACGTTTTGTTGAAGCGCTCTACGGCGGAGTTGCCTCTAGGCCAGTAGACGGACGATTTGGTGTGCTTCACCCCTCGGGCGGCCAGATACGCAGTGAACTCCCTGCTCGTGAACTGGGGCCCATTGTCCGTCACGATCTCGTCAGGATAGCCCTCTTTGGCCCACACAGTTGACAAGAACTTGATGACGTCTTCAGTCTCAGTCGATGACGTCAGGCAGACTTCCGCCCCTTTGCTTCTGTAGTCAATCAGAGTGATGGCGTAACGGGCAGTCGCTGGTGCTCCGTTGATTGGACCAACGATATCCATTCCCAGTTTCGACCAGGCGCGGTCCGGCAGGTCGACTGGCTGCATGGGCGCAGGGCGTGCGCGCTGGGAGAGGACTGCGTCGCTGTGCTGGCAGCGCTCGCAACTTCGGCACAGCTCCTCCACCTCACGGTTGATGCCGGGCCACCACGCCAGATTCCGCAGCGCCTGTTTCGTGCGGACGATTCCGTCGTGCGCGCTGTGCGCCAGCTCCAGGTATCTGCGGCGGAGCTGAACGGGCACAACAACTTGTTGGGCTCCTCTCAGGATGACGTCGTCGTTGCGCACCCACAACTCGTGTCTCATCTTGAAGTACGGCTGGACTTCAACCGGGCAGGCCTTGGCGCTGCTCGGCCAGCCGCGCTTGATCTGATGACGCAGCTGCTGCAGCTCAGGATCAGCAGCTGATGCGGTGCGGACGTCTTGCTCGGTCAGCACGCTCTCTTCATCTGTCAGCTTGTGACGCACCGGTACAGCATCAGGACGGAGAACAATCCTGTGCTGGTAGCCACGGACTGTCGTCAGTGAGCATATCTCGCCAGGGTCGGGCTGAGACGGTGGCGGTTCCGGGACTTCTGCGCTCCCAGTGACCGCCAGCTGATCGATTGCCCCACTCGCGGGGTGCAGGTTTACGTCCAACTGCTTCAGCAGGTCCAGTCCCATGACGGCTTCTTCACCGTCGGAATCTATGATGAAGAACTCTGTGTTGGCTCGCCGTCCACGGTAGGTCACCAGCGCTGGCAGCGTGCCAAGCACTTGAAGCTGGTGTCGACCAAAACCGAACAGACGAGCAGACGTTCTATTGAGATGACTGCCTTTGAAGAGACGTCTGGCGATGCCGAGTCCTAAAGCGGACACCGTGGCACCCGTGTCAATTTGCAGATTCACGGTCTGCGTGATACCTGGTACCTCCATCTGTACTTCGCACATCATCTTATCAGTATTTGGTACGGCGCAGCAGAGAACAGTCAGCTCGTGACACCTTCTGTCGTCGTTCCGTTCACCAGACCAGCAGACCACGCCAAAGTGACCCGTCCGCCCACACTGCCTGCACGTGGCCCCGGTAGCGGGACACCGACCGCGCTCATTGTGCTGGCGCCGACCGCAGCTGGGGCACGTGTCCGGTTGCAGCTGGGCAGGTCCGGGGCGACGGTCGGCTTGCAACTGGGCAGGGGCGGGGCGGCGGTCGTCTTGCCGCCGGGCGGGTCGCCAGGGCCGGCGCCCGCGGCGCTGACGAGCGTCAGATATCTGATGCAGTGACTGCGCTCCGTCGGCTGCGGGCCGCGCCGGCCCGGCCATGGCGGTCGCCTCGCGTCGGGATCGCTCGAATGCCTCGGCGATCTCCAGAACGCGGTCCAAGGTCAGGCCCTTATCCTGCAGAAAACGCTCGCGGAGAATCGGATGCACTGTTGCTTCCACGACTTGGTCACGTATCATTGCGTCTGTCATTTGTCCAAACGAGCAGTTTACTGCCAGGCGGCGCAGCGCCGCCACGTAGTCGGCCGTCGGCTCGTGCGACTCTTGCCGTCGCTGCCGGAAGAAGAACCGCTCCGCGATCACGTTGACCTGAGGTTCATAAAACTGGCGAGCTGCCGCTCAGCCGCATGGAACTCGTCTTCGTCTTCTCTCCTCGGCTGGACCGGTAGGGTACGGTACACCCGTTGCGCCTCGGCGCCGACACAGTGCAAAAGGAGAGCCGTCTTCCTCTCCGTGCTGTAGGCCTCACCTCCCAGGGCAGTCAGGTAGTTGTGGAAACTGAAAATCCAGTCACTCCAGGGCAGTGCTGGTTTTCCTGGTCTCGCCAGGAACGGAGTTGGCGGCGACACCCCCTCGACGTTCATCGTCGGTAGTATTCAGGATCTCATCCTCGTCGCCAGATGTAGTGTTCACCGCCGTCTCCGGATTCCGATGTATTCTCACAAACTCGCGGTGCAAAGCACTAAGGCACTGCCGTGCTGTGCGGCCGGGCGGAGCCTCTCGACTGCTGGCTCTGACTGGAGCCGAGCAGGGTGCGGCCGCCTCACACTCGTATTACCGGGGGCCCGATGCCGAGCCACGGACACCCGATGCACTAGGTACTCGATACACTACAGGGGTCCTAGGACCTCCCTGGAGCCTAGAAAAAAAAAGTTTTTTTTTAACTCGGAAAAAAATGAAATGACTACGAGGGCCCTTTTGACCACTTCCCATTTTTTTTTTTGCATACTGAAAAAGTACTGGGGTACTCTTTTAGGGACCATTTGAGGACTATCAGAGGGCACCTTTAGGCCAATGAGGGACCTTGTGAAGTAAACGGAGGCAGTGTGGCCAAATTGGTTTAGCGTTAGGGGGGCGATGCATAAAAAAGTCGTATGAGGATGTCTCTTTATTAAAAAAAACTCGTCCTCAACCTCATTTTAAGTGCAGTTTTTACAGGGTAATGTGGAAAAACTATACCTGACGTCAAGTTCTGGTGGAAAGTACAAAAAAACTTCAAATGTTGTCATTAAAGATGTAAAAAAAAAAACATTGCAAGCGCGACAGTACGAGTAGGACGGTGCAAATCGTACATTGGAACATTTTTAGTCTTTATTCCTACACTATAATAGGTATGCTTTCACGACAAAAACGTCGTGATGATGTAATTTTAAAATAATTCTGAGGATGTTATTATACTTTTCATTGGGGGTGACTTTCCCCGCAACATCACCACTTTGGCCACACTGAACGGAGGGCCCTTTGGAACGAACAGGATCCTCTCAGGCACGCACACAGAGGGCCCTCTCAGGCACATTGAGGGCCCTCTCAGGTACACCGAGGGCCTTCTCAGGCACAGAGGGTAATCTCAGGTACACAGACGGCCCTGTCAGGCACACAGAGAGCCCTCCCAGGCCCAAGAGGGCCCTCTCAGGCCCCAGAGGGCCCATTAAACCGCGCCCCACTGGGGTCTGTGTATAACACGCCCCACTGGGGGAGGCTATTCATAGCCCCCCTCCTAACTCCGAAACTACTGGGCCGATCGTCAAAATTCAAACGGCATCTGATAGCCCCGGAAAAAACTGTCGAGCGAAGCCTAATTTCATTGACCTCCTCGAGGTCACCGATGACGTCACAGGTCAGGTCAAAGTAAAAATTATCGATATTTGGCTTGTTCACTTTTTGGGCTCTGGCTGCCGTCTTACAAGTCAGATCAGGCTGATTTTTTGTTTACACACTCGTGAACAGATGCTTTAGATACCCTGAGGGTACGAAACTTGTACTTTGATTTGAGGTCAGGGTCAGGTCATCATAGGTCACGGAAATCTTATGTCATAAGTGGGTCACGTGACACATGTTTTATGGTCCATTTAGGTCATAGATTTCTAATTCGGTGTTGCCTGTGTTATTTGAGGCCACTTTCATCTGAATATAGCTGAGGTCAGGTCACTTTCAGGTCAAAAAAGGTCAAATTTCAAAGTTGAAATTTTTCAACTAAAAACATGTCTATCAGATGCAGTTTGACCTCAGGAACACGAAGGTGCTATTTGTATTGGTGTACGATGTCAAATTCGTACAGAAAAATTGATTTGAAAAATTTAAAATTTTGAAATTTTTGCTATAATGCGTATAACTTGGCCATTTTTGAAGATATCTGGCTAAAACTTGCTAGAGTAGGTCATAGGCATGTGTTCTATCATGAATTTGCCGGTTTTTTCGAAATGTAAAAAATTGGAAAAAGATAAAAATACAAATTTTGAATTTTAATATATATTATTTTCGAAATTTCAAAATTTTGAAAATTAGAGATACTAGTTTGATAGCGCAGTCCATTCTGAGTCCTCTCATGCAAAGAAATTGGATCTAGCTAAAAACTGAGCTCTTGGGAGCGATTCCCGTGGTTCAATGTTTTGCGTCGAAATCGGCTGAACATGACGTCACTCTGACGTCATTTCCGGCCGACCTATGATAGATACGAAGTTCAAATTTTGACGCAAGGTGTCAAATTAATGCAGCCGAAGGTACTGAAAGTTTGGCGGCGATACGTCAAGCGGTTTAGAAGTTATTGCAGAAAAACGGGAGGGGGCTATGAATCCCCCCCCCCCCCCAGTGGGGCGTGGGTTAAGACGATCAGAAGGCCCCCTGAGGTATGCGGGTCATTTTCAGGCCACAAGGTGTCCTATGAGGCCAGCAGACGCTCCTCTTAGATCAAAGGTTGTCCCTGGAGGTCTGAGGCGAACAGAGGGCCCTCTCATCCACCACAATGAGGGCCCTCTGAAAATCAAAGGGCCCTCGGAGGGCAGCAGAGGACCCTCTCAGGCATCGCCCCAAAGCACAGTGATGCAAATGGGGCTCACGAGTGGCCATAAATACCGATAAGGCCCAAATTTCAAGTTCACCTAATCGAATAAATCGTAATATGGCCAGTTAGGCAAATGTTTGGGGTGTGTCAGAAAACATGATTTTCATGTTTTTGTCAAAACCGGCCTCGTGTATGATTGTCAGAAGTCGTGACATTTTCTATGTCGTAAAATGACTCAGATACTCGCAACTTAAAACGCCGTTAGCGTGCGTTTATTTCATACAAATGGCAAAAAAAATTATGCATGGCAATGAACCCCAAAGGCTGCTGCTTCTCATGCCGGGTCACCAAAAGCCGCATCTGTTTTGGTTTGGCGGTGATCTAATCATTTGTCATCATGTTACTATACAATCGCAGTTTTTTACTAAAAAAATATTTTTCTTTCGTTTCACCTACAGCAGTGTACACAGGGTGTGCCCGTTAGTGCACCATACCATAGCATTCCCTAATCATTTCTGAACTGAGCCGCACTGTGAAAGAATGAAGGCGCTAGCACAGGGCTAACCGGCGCCACTAAAGTTTTCGTCCGTTGCGGTCGGGTGCCGCGGCGCGGTGGACGGCCCGGGCGGCCGCGCCGCGGGCGGGCGGCCACAGCGGGGGTTCGTCGGTGCATCCCTCTGCTGTTCCTAAACTAAGCGTTCTAGCGCCTCGCGACAAAAACCAACGGATTGCTCTTGACCAGATCTCGCGAGTGAGCGTATTATTTTTGAGTTAAGGTCAATATTTGCCCTACTTATAGCAGGTCAAAGTTAAACGTCTGTCGAAATTGCAATCCGCGGTGAAAGCAATCCGCCCCGACCGCGACACCCGACCGCGCCGGACAAAAACTTCAATAGCGCCGGTCTGCCCTGTGCTAGCGCCTTAATCCTTTCACGGTGTGACTCAGAAATGGTTAGGGAATGCTATGGTATGGTGCACTAACAGGCACACACTGTAAACTGCTGTAGGTGAAACGAAAGCAAATATTTTTTTAGTAAAAAACTGCGAT